TACTTGAATTGACATCATACATTGTCTGGAACTGAGTGCATCTCTGTCTTGTCTTTGTGGCACATTCTGGTCACTGACTGTTTGAAACAATGAGCCTTAACACATTACTGCCTTTATAACAAACATCAATCATTTACTAAAATAGCTGTATTTTGATTCAACTTCTTTAAAAGGAGCATGCTAAATAGGCGACACTAGCACAGATTATCACTGCCATAAATGCAACTTAACTCTTGGTCCTAACTTTAAACACTTGTCTGCATTGCACTGAGTTACTGCAGAAAAATATATGTTGAGTGCTACGGTTAATAATAGTATGAGCCTACAGTATAAGACGTATGGAGTGTAGCTAATCACAAAAGGCATGCTGCGTGGAATTTACTCACTTGTGGTTCAGCAGTCTCTAAGGAGAGGAAGCATCAGGCAAAGATCTTTATTGCACGAGAAGGTAGTAAAATCAGCTTAGTTGAAGACACTACCATATCCAACACTGCCGTATGTTCCAACATGTCATCATTTATAACATGATATCACTCTATACATCTGCCAGGTCTAAGAGTATAATCATGCAAGTCACCTATATACTTACTGCAAACGTAACTCAATAAACATCCTTTTTTTTTACTTAAAGAAAGGCTTTGTGCAACCTTGGTGTGTGAAAAATTATTATTATTACTATCTTACTTCATTATTACTTATGTTCACGGCTGCACACAAAATATTTAATTTTGTTTTGTAAAAAAACAACACAAAGTGGTTGACAAATGTGAAATTAAAATTATTTTTGAAACCGTAAGCTTTCAGCCTTCTTGAGTTAATGTGAATCCCCTGCACTTACAGCAGCAAGTCTTCTGGGGTAAGTCTCTACCAGCTTTGCACATTTAGAGAATGCATTTTGATCCAATTCTTTGTGCAACAGCTCACATTAGATGGAAAGCGTTTGTGAACAGCAGTTTTTTTGAACTGGCAAATGTTTCTGAATTGGAGAGGTCTTTGACTGGCCAGTCTAACACATTCATATGTTTTTGACCATTATTGACCATTGAAAAGCCTTTATATTTAGGGAAATTGTCCTGATGGAAGCTAAATTTCAACTCCAGTCTCAAGTCTTTTGCTAACTGCAAAAGTATTTCCTGTTTTTGTCTTGTATTTTGTTCCATCCACATTCCCATCAACTCTGGCCCTGTCCCAGATGAAAATGGCAGCCCCCACCACATATAGCATTGTGCATTTAGGCCTTTTCAAGTTGTGTGATATTAAAAGTGCTGACACTGGAAGAAGAAGCAAACTCAACTCAGAAAGGCCTCGCTCCACCCAAGAGTTGAACTTTGTTTGGTTGTTATGATGCAAGAGTGCTAACCTTCTCTTTAAAGGGAGAGCATGTATGATATACATTTCATAAACATATTCTCGCTGTGCAGATCAAATCAAGTATTGCTTTATGTTGTCATCAATAAAAGCAATAATTGATTTGGTGTTTTGGTTCATGATTGAGATTCCAATACAAGCAGGGAGCAGCAACCATGTGTCTAAAAGGCTTTACAATTACCGTAGTGGGGTTTTTGGCATATATTTTCAGTACTTCTATATCATGTAAGATTTAAACCAAGATTAATCTTGGTTCTAATACCTGAATGAATGTGTGCGTTGAATATGGTTTGTTTTTGCATGGGAAACTGTGGAGCACTTGAAAGAATGTCCTGGCAAAACACCTGCTTTTTCACGCAAACTATTGTGAGGATTTATATTGGATTAAGATTAATGACACCACAGAGTCACAAGGAACTGAATGGGCAAACAAACAGCCTTGTAAAACAGTCTAGCCACGCATCGCACAACATTATGTGGCGTAGTTAATGTTGGAAAAGTAAGAGTAAGAGTGTCAAAATTCACAATGAAGAATTTAGGTTATTAAAAAAAAGCACCACATTTCCAGTGAACACTATAGTCACTTAAATAACTATTATGTTATCTACTACAATTTACAAGCATAAAAAACATTATGGTATATTCATCCAAAAGTGGAATAAGCGGAACTTAATTTTGGTCCTTTTTTCTTGGTCTCTTCCGGTGACGCTTCACAGTGTGCGACCCGCACACCCGCACACTAGCTACCTCGAGCAGAGAGTGTTTGGTGCTTTTATGAACTTTTATCAGAGTGACTGGTGTGTCACCTTCTCAGTTTCGCAGCAATGTGGTTACTCAATTTGGACTACCTGCTCAGCCGAGTGTGCGCGGGGCTGGAGCCCTTCCACGACTCACCTTTACGCGGGAGTCCCTCCTACAGCTCCGGTTCTCCGAGCGGGCCGCGGATCCACCGCCAGACATCCCGCTGGAGCTTTGCAAAACGGCGGCTCGACCCGTACGCCGCAAAAGGGGAAGACGAGGGGGTGTCCACCGGAGACTGAAGCGCTTGTGCCTCCAGGACCGGCGACGGATGACCGCGCTCCCATCCATCCTGCTTGAGAACGCGCAATCTCTCCGTAACAAGCTGGATGACCTGGAAGCTTGGGCCACGGTGAGACAGGAGATCACCAATGCCTGTCTTTTTGTGTTCACGGAGTCTTGGCTTAAGGCCACCAATCAAGATGAGGATCTCTCAGTGAGGGGCTTTGGAGCTCCATACAGACTGGATCGGGACCTGGAAATCATGGGAAGTCGCGGGGAGGAGGAGTGTGCCTCTGCATCCCCCATGTTGAACTGTTGTCGTTGTCTCTTCGGCCCTTTTTTTTGCCATGCCAGTTCCAATAGCTGTTTTTTACGGTTGTATACATGCACCCCCGCGCAAAATGGACAATTCTTAATAATTTTTATTGTTCTCTTATTGAAAGCCTCAGCTTTTCTTTGATCTCTTGGTTCCAAAGCCTGACGCTGAAGGACAGAAACAAATTACAGAGTATTGTGAGAACTTGCTCTATAATCACTGGAGGAAAACTCAGAGACCTCGGATGTTTCCTCCGTCGCACTCTTCACACCATCGGCTTCACCTCTGGGTGTCACAGGTGACTTTTCTCTCCCTCCGTGTTTCTCTGTTGTGGATTTTAACCATGTTTTATTTTAAGCAGGTATCATTTGTATATAGCCTCCAAACCTAAGCTAAACCTTTAGCTTTAGAAAACAACAGCAGAACACGATTTGTTGCTGTGCGTGATGTAAGATACGTAACTTGATTTGGATTGACGCTGACGTAATCTGGAAATTTCTGGTACAAAATTACAAATTGTATTGAAATATATTCTGGACTCTTCTCCAAACACAATTGAGGCATATTGAACCAAATCAATTGTAACAAAAATATTTAAGGGCTACATATTTGTTCCACTTTATTATTGCTTTATTTTTATGGAAATGATTTTTATGGTCCCACTTTAGGAACCACTGCTTTAAGCAACATGAAAGGCCATTGTCTGTTTTCAATATAATCATAATAATTGCACAGTCTTCACTGTGCAACAATCCAAACAATATCACACTTCCACTTCTTGCAACATGATATTGCCCAAAATACTGGAATATTTATATATTTATTCATTAAAGCCACCCTGTGTAATTTTTACAGTAGCTCCAAATGGAAAAAAATAACTTAACCAATAACAAATGTAACCCTTCTTAGAATATTTACCTCCACCATGTTTTTTGAAATGTTGTCATAGACTTCGAATTTGAATTACAAAAGTCCGTTAGAGCAGAGTCCTCTCTAGGTCTTAAAATACACTGGTTGATAAGGGACAAAAAGGATGCGAGAATCGCGTTTTCATACAGTACACAGGGGCTACTAAAATTGTTGCTTTTACCGTGCCCTCACAAGTTTGAAGAAGGAACCATGGAGGACCACAGTGATTTAAAAAAACGACCCAAACAACAATATTTTAGAAATATAATTATGCAAAAATTCAAAAAACTGCGTCAAAGCAGTTAAGTTTTAACATCGCAAGCCACACGCACCGAAAGAGTTAAAACAAGAAGCACATTGTTGTCGTTTGTACACAACAGACTCACAAATGAACAATACCTAACGGTCTTCACAACAACAGGACCAGCCCTTTCTCAGCCAATCAGCTCTCATGTGAATCATAAAAAAAGTGTTTTTCTTGTTATTTTTCTCCCCGATCTCATGTATTGATTCATAGGGCTTGGGCTGATTCTAGTTTGAATAGTTTCTATTCTCCATTTAGCAAATATGGCAAGTGTGACACAAATAGTTATAGAGAAGGTGAGTTGAAGCAGAACTTCACCCTGAGACACTTTCCCTATTAGGCCAAGTAGAGTTGGTGGGTGAGCATTGCTCATTCCTATATACGGACTATGTTTCACTGATATGTCGGCAGGTGTGCGAAGCCGGATCAGAAAAAAAAACATAAGTTGCTATCAGGCAGGGGAAGTCCTTTTTAAGACATGTTGAGTGAGAGGGACGTAGCAGGACATGCTTTTAGAAGAACCATCTTCAGCTCTGTTTGTAATCCTCTGCTCTATGAAATATGCACAAAACAACCTCAAGGCCTGTGATGTTTGAACACCCTTAGTTTGTTGAAACAAAGTTGACAGTGAATCCTGGCTGAATGGACCTTGTCACACACAACCCGCCTGCACTTCTCTGGTCTTCTCTCGTCGCCAGTGTGTTTCCTTTGGGGGCAGCCAGTCCAACTTGACAGTATTGAAAAAGGCATTCCACAAGGATCCTCACTTGGTCCTCTTCTCTTCTCTATTAATGATCTCTCATCTATCTGTTCCAACTGTACTATTGAACTTTATGCCGATGATACTGTTATTTACTGTTCCAAATCTACTATTCCTGACATCTGCAACTCTTTACTACACAACTTTGACATTGTTCAACACCGAGCTTACAAGCTTCTGCTCAATTAAACCAAATCTTATTCCACGCTTTGCAAGAAGACCAATAAACCTCTGCCTGATTCAAAACTCCACTTTATAGATCTGTCCACAGTCAAATGTGTG